GGGGGGTGGAGGCTGACATCACCACAGCAGAGCCTTTAAACCCTTCACCCAGCCAGCGCCCCATCCTGTCTGTCCAAGGCCAGACAGAGCTGACTCCTTCCTGCGAGCCCTGAGGAGCCCCTGTGAGTGCATTTGTCCCAGGGTTGGAGGGAAGTTTGACTGGGACTTGACAGGAGCTGTGGATGTATTGCAGGATGGGATGGGGGTTGGAGGGGGGTGTCCCTGGTCTCCAGCTTCCTGGCTAGGGGAGCCCACCCTCTCAGCCAGTGTGCATTCCTAATCTCCAAGTGGGAGGTGGTCCTAACAGACGGGTGGTGAGGGATTGGTAGAATCCATATTGCTCAGACTGGGCAGCCTTGGGCTCATTGAATTGCCCAGGATGACAGAAACCTGAGAACTGGGCTAGTGGGTGTGTGGTAGGCTCTGCTGTCTGTTGTCTATCTAGGGGATGTCCAAGGTGAGGAGGTGTGTGAGTCACTAATGCTGGAGAGCAGTGTCCCCCTGGAGGGTCCCCAGGGCTGAGCAGTGTGGGGGAGCCCCTAGGGAGCCCCTGAGCAGTGAGAAGGACCACAAAGCCCTTGCACTCTGAAACAGGTGGGGTGCAGGGTGCAGGGAGAGGTGAGAGCTAACTTTGTGGGTATGCAGCTCCTTCCAACACTGAGAGGGAGGTCGCCTCACTACAGGCAGAGGGGGGGGCACTGCAGGGAGCTTCCAGTGATGGCCTGGGTGGCTCCACCAGGCTGGGGCAGGCCCAGGACCCTGGGCCCTTCCAGACAGTCTGGCTGGTTCCCCTCCATGGTTGCTATTCAGAGAAGCAGAGGATGGGCTCTTCTCTGTCGCTGGAATCTCGATGAGCCACCTCTCCTGCCAGCTCAGAGAGGCACAGGGCTCATTCCTATGTGCTGTGTTTTACTCTGAGGCGGGGGATAGCAGTCCTGGGGAGGCCCCTGGTTCCACCAGGTTTCCCAGGTTCCCACTGGTAGGAGGTGCCCCCTGACCCTTTGCAGCAGGACTTTGTTCTTCCTCTGAGGGGAGGGGAGGCTGACAGAGCCAAAGGGCAGGGGGTCGAAGCAGAGCTTCAGACTGTGCTGTCCATCCTGTCCCAGGAGCCTTTGTCTAGAACGTCCCCCGGGTGCAGCTGTCTCCCCAGCAGCTCTCAGGCGAGAGTGGGGAGGTCTTTATCAGAGGACTTGGTGGTGGTGGGGGGGATTTCTTGGGACCAGGAGGGTGCAGGGTGGTCAAAATCTGATCAAAACCATTCTGATCAAAATCCAAATATGGTCTCTAGATCTAGGGGCTGCAACTTTATGCCCTTGCCACTGAGCCTGGTCCCCTTGGCTATCTGTTCTGAGTCTCCTCCTGTGGGGGTCGGGGACACCCTCTGGCTTCCTTCCTGTCCTGCTCCTCACACATCCAGTAAGGTCTGGGAGGGGCGGTGGGGTGGGGCCCGTGTGGTTCAGGTGGGCTGAGAGCGGCTGGTTTGATTCCCAGTCAGGGCACATGCCCAGGTTTTGGGCTCGACCCCCAGTAAGGGGCGTTCTCTCTCCCTCTTTCTCTAAAATCAATAAAACGTATTTTTAAAAAAGAGTTCAGGGCATGGAAGATGGTGTGTGCCTGGACCACAGGGAGGCCTGCCGCCTGCCTGGGGTGGGGGAAGCTGAGATAGGGGAGGAGGGAGGCAGGGATGCAAGACGGGCTGACTGGCAGGTTTGTACCACAGGGCTCTGCCCAGGGCCCTGGGATGCGGGGGAGCAGGGCTAAGACAAAGTAGGCTGAGGAAGGGAAGGGCTTGCTGTTCGGGGCCAAACAGAGCGAAGCGCTCTGCCCTTGGGTTCTTTTGCATCACTGACTGGGGGGGGGTGTTGCTCAGAGAACCCTGTCCTCAGAGGTGGCCCAGCCCTCACTTTACAAATAAGGAAACACCCGGAGGGAAGTGAGTTGCCCAGTTGCTAGAATTTAGACGAATCCTCCATCTCGTGTTCTTTCTCTCAAACTTTGTTGTCCTCTTGGCATGATTTTGAAGAGGGTGGAGGCTGGAGCGGGAGGAAAACTTGCTGCTCTTACCCCTCAGCCAGGGGCCGCGCCCTGGGAGCCAGAGCCTGCGGTGCTGAGCGCTGAGGGACGCGAGGGACAGCTGTGTGTTAGGTGGCGACTGCCTGCTCTCACCCAATGTTCGCAGCCCCCACCGAGCGGACGAGCTGTCCGCGTGGGTAAAGGAGGGGCAGCCTGGGCCCGTGTGCTGTTCACTCTGCCTCCGCGGGGGGGTGTGGAGAGGGTCTGAACTCTAAGAGGAGCTGGGGGAGCATGCTGACTACTCCATCCTCAGAACATTCTCTCTGACCTCTCCGAGGCCAGGGAAGGGACTGGCCTCCTTTGGCACCTCTTCAGATGAGCTCTGGGCACCACCCAGTTGACACCTGTGGCTAGGTCAGGCTCCTCTTGAGCACCCACACCCTCGTCTGCCCAACGTCCTGCCTGCCTGGACTGCGCCTGCTCCTGCAGCCCTCCCTCCCATTAGCGCGCTTCTCCGGAGCAGGCCCAGCCCCAGGCCTCGGCGGTGGCTGCTGGTGGTCTGGGCAGGCAGATTCTTGGCTCTGGGGTTTCCCTGGAGGGCTCCGGCTTGGTTACTCAAGCTACTCCAGTGCGAGAACCTGGGCACGAGGGAGATCCCATGGGCACAGCAGTGGCTGCTCTCTCATCCGACTCCCCTGAGGAAATGCAGCTGCTTGGCCAAAAGCTCCTGGGCTTCGCTGTCTTTCTAGACCTTGCCCGGGGTGGATAAGCTGGAGCCTCTTCCCCTGCAGGCCAGAGGCTGAGGTGACCTGGCAAAGCCCTAGTTTTGGAGTCCCCTTCCGGCTAGGGAATAGAGCGGGGAGGGAGGGAGGGTCGGAGGTAACTAACTTGAGGCACAGTTAGTGAACCACCTCACACCTGCCTGGGTAGAGACACCTGCTGGCTCACTCTGGGGGGCGATGCGGCTTCTCCAGGAGGCCTCTCCAGTGCCTCTGTGGCCAATCTTGGCAAAGAAAGAATGCTCCGCATTAGGGGTTGTCAAACCATGGCCCATGGGCTGAATGCAGCCTGCTGTCTGTGTAAATAGTTTTATTGGGACAAAGCCATGTTAATTTGTCTAAGGCTGCTTCTGTGGGACAATGGCAGAGACCACATGGCCTGCAAAGCTTAGAATACTTACTTTCTGGTCATTCACAAAAAAGTACACTGAGCCTGCTCTCAACCACCAAAGAGCCGGTCTCCTGCTCCTCCGTCTCCAAGTCTGGAGAGGCCCGTAGGACCAAGGGGAGGAGCCTGGCCCAGAGGGGCAGTACCCTGAAAACAAAATTGGGCAGCAAGAGGGGAAAAACCAACGTTGAGGGTGGTTGGGTGCCCAGAGCTAGACCTGCCTGGCACAAGTGAAAGCAGGGCTGTTTTCTGACCCCTCTCTCCGTTCTCTGGCTGGTGCTGCTTAAGCTCTCCCCAAACATGGCCAACAAGGGACCTTCCTACGGCATGAGCCGTGAAGTGCAATCCAAAATTGAGAAGAAATACGACGAGGAGCTGGAGGAACGGCTGGTGGAGTGGATCGTAGTGCAGTGTGGCCCTGATGTGGGTCGCCCAGACCGCGGCCGCTTGGGCTTCCAGGTCTGGCTGAAGAATGGTGTGGTGAGTGGCACCCTGGGAAGGGGGTTGGGGCTGTGCCATCCTGCCAGTCATGGGACAGGTACCCCGAGCCCAGTGCCAAGCTGTGTTCTGTGCCTGGCAGATTCTGAGCAAGCTGGTGAACAGCCTGTATCCTGACGGCTCCAAGCCAGTGAAGGTGCCCGAGAACCCACCCTCCATGGTCTTCAAGCAGATGGAGCAGGTGGCTCAGTTCTTGAAGGCAGCTGAGGACTATGGGGTCACCAAGACTGACATGTTCCAGACTGTTGACCTCTTTGAAGGTACAGGGAGAAAAGGGTGGAGGAGCCAGGCGCAGGACAGGTGGCTAAGACGGGTGAGGCGTGACCGAAGCGCGCCTCAACAACGGGCCTGCAGGCGGGAGTGGGAGGTGCCAGGACCAGCGCGCGCTCGCCGAAGCCGCCCGATTCTGCGAGAGCCCTGCCCCTGGGTTGCCGTTTTCTGAGCGGTGGGCGCAGGCCCTGCCTTGGGAGTCCTGTTCACACACAGCCCTGAAGTGTGGCTGCCCTCCCCTCTCTTCTTACAGGCAAAGACATGGCAGCAGTGCAGAGGACCCTGATGGCCCTGGGCAGCTTGGCGGTGACCAAGAATGACGGGCACTATCGTGGAGATCCCAACTGGTTTATGAAGTACGTGGCTCCTCTGTGGCTGGGTCTGCGTGAGGGAGGCAGCCTGGGCTCACCCATTAGTGCGAGAGATTTGGGGAAGCAGATAGCCAGGAAGGTATGAGGTCTACAATAGGGGGAAATGGGTCCCTAATACTTTTTTTTTCTTCTTTAAAGTGTTTACTGCCTTGAGCTCAAACAAGGTATGGCATGATTTTTAAAAAAATGTTTTGATTTCAGAGAGAGGAACGAGATGGAGAGGGAGAGAAACATCAATGATGAGAGAGTCACTGATCGGCTGCCTCCTCCAGGCCCCCTACTGGGGATCGAGCCCACAACCTGGGCATGTGCCCCAACCAAGAATCAAACAGTGGCCTCTTGGTTCATAGGTTGACGCTCAACCATTGAGCAACGCTGGCCAGGCCCTAATACTTCTTGACTCCTCCCTTCCTACTCTCCTGTGCTCCGCCAGTCTCCCTAGCCTGAGGGGTAAGCTAGGCCACGGAGAGAAGTGAGACGAGGTGGGAAGGGGATCAGGCTAGGAAGTAACAGAGCAGACAGAAAATGGGTGGAAAGCAGGCAGTCCTGACAGGTTTTATCTTGGTTCCTCCTCTTCTAGGAAAGCCCAGGAGCACAAGAGGGAATTCACAGAGAGCCAACTGCAGGAGGGAAAGCATGTCATTGGCCTACAAATGGGCAGCAACAGGGGGGCCTCCCAGGCTGGCATGACGGGCTACGGAAGACCTCGGCAGATCATCAGTTAGAGGACAGGCCCAGCCCCCTGCCTGGCCCCCCAGCTCATTGGCTGCATCGGCCCCTAGCCCCCCACCCCCACCTGTTAGCTCCCTCAGCCAGCCAAGCTTCCAGGCTCCGAGGCTCCTCACTGAGCAAAGGTGACTGCACTTGGGCAACTCTCCCCCACCCCTCAGCCCAACTTCTTCCTCCAAAGCACTGCTCCTGGGCCTCCTCCCAGCTCCCCACCTCTCTACTGTCTCTTCCCATCCTGGGCTGAGCAGGGGGGCTGGGCTGGGTGTGGCCTAGGGGTGGGGCAAACCCACTGTCCTCCTAGGCAGCAGATGCCCACTGAGGGAGACCCAGCCCAACCTCCCCCCATTTTTGCTGGAATATTTTGGGGGTTGAAATTCAAGAAGCAAAAAAATATATACATCTTTTCTCAGGCCTGGCTGGCAGAGTTTGATTTGCTGTTATCACTTCTGTGTGGTTCTGAGAAACAGGAGCAGGGGACAGACAGGGAATAATGTCCTCTGAAGCCCTCCCACTCCAGGGTCCGGGGGTCAGGTTCTCTCAGAGGACCAGGCAGTGGGAGAGGAGAGAATCTTGGGACTGACGGGGAGGAGAAGCTACTTGCAACCTGCACTGTCAGAGAAAAGGAGATGAGGAACAGCAGGGTTGTGTGGAAGGATTTTATTTTGGAAAAGCTGTGCAGGAAAAATTCAACAAAAGTTGCTGTGAAAAGAGAAAACCAAATCTTAAGTGTTAAAAAAAAAGTCCAAATCAACCAACCAGCTCACAAGAGGGGAGGAGGCCAAGAATGGAAGGAGAGAGTCAGCCTGCGGTGCAGACAGCTGGCCTCCGGTGGGGAGGCCGTTTCCCTGAGCACTTTTCAGAGGAAGGAGGGTGGTCCAGGGCTGGGCAGCAGTGACTGGCGCCTGTCATAGTCCTGCGCAGGCTCCTGGTGCAGCAGCACAGCCCTGGGCCAGGCCCACCCCCAGCTTTGCAGGAGCTTTGTCCTGACCCTTCAGGAGGAAGGGGGTGATGGTGAGTGGCTGTGTTCATGGCTGGCTCCCAATTAGGGAGAATGGAAGCAACGGCTCGTAGCGCCGTGTGCTGGGCTGAGGGCTGGCGGCCATACCAGTACGTCCAAGGTCCACGGCTTAGGCAGGAAGGTAAGGAGAGGAAAAGTCTGCTGCTTTGGGGTCCTGGGTCATTAGAACAGGCATACCTGGGGCCCTTCTCAGCCCGCACCTCTGAGCTCTCTTCCCAGTGACTCCAGTGATGTTTCTGCTGAGAGGCTCCTCTGGCCACACAGGCACGTTCTCAGCCAGGCACAGGCAGACATCACTGGCCTGCCCAGGAGAAGTGAGGATGGAGTCTACCCAGCAAGGGACGCCAGTCCCTTGTCCGAGGCCCCTCACCCAAAGCTGTGGGGTTTGAGGAAGGTCCTGTGGCTGCTCCCACACTGTTCTCTGGCACCACTCCTCTGCCACGCGTGCCTTAGAAAGCCTTGGCCTCCCTGAGCAGTCAGAAGATGCTCCTTAGCCTCTGCGTTGCAGACATGAGCATCAGGAACACCTCTTCCAGCTCCCCGCAGGGGGAGTGGGTGGGTGGGGTGGGAAGAGG